TGACCTTAAGGCTTTTGAGGCGAGCATTTGATACCCTTTGAATGACGGCTGATTAACTCGTATATTCGTCCTCACATTAAGTATGTGGTTGGATGAAATATTCGTCTATTGGAGCAGCCCCAAAGAACAGCAACCAAGACAACACGTATACTATCCGATCTCAATTATGAACTGCGCCATCGTTTAATCGGTGTGTTTACGGAATACTGACGGCTTCGCCGAAACCTCCTTCTCACACAGAGAAAGCAAACATCTAAGCAAATCATTGCTGACCCTAGCCCCCTACGAATATTGCCGTGTCCGCGGCCTCAAACTGATAACTCAACACTCCCGTTTGGATTGCATAGATTTTTTACTGCCCCAGAATCTGTTCACTCTGAGATGCATTGCCACTACATGTGGTGACCGCACCCAACATCGCGACGTTCGAAAGAGTATTAGCCTCTCATATAAATAATAAACGCCACCCAACGGCATGATAAATTGCCACTTCCAGACTACTGATATTTCAAATTCCAAGTAAGAACATTTTGATTTTTTGCATTTGCTATCCTGTGGGTCTTGCAAAGCTACATTTTTCCAGTCATACACTAATGAGCTATAACTGGAGTAAATCGATTATAGTGGCAATATACAAGAACAGCAATCCCACCGACTGTGCTAACCACAGGGGTATTAGCTTAACGCCAGTGGAGACAAAATAACCGACCCCAATTCTCGTTCATCGCCTCACTGCGGGACGGGAATCCCATATTGGGGCTTCCGCCCAGGACGAGATCGTACAGACTATATATCCACTCTACGGCAGGTGTTAGAGAAGCGCCGCGCAAACCGACAATAGCTGTGTTCCTTGACGAAGTCGATTGATCCATTCTGTTCGAGATACTTGTGCGGAAAGGCGTTCCCATTTTACGTGCTCTGTATTCCAATAAGACAATCCGCGTCAAGGTCTATGGTGATTTATCGGATATCTTTCGGACAACAAGTAGCGTTCGTCAGGGTTGCCCTGTTTCCCCACTTTTGTTCAACTTCCTCGTGGACGCCATCATGAAGTGGAGCCTCACGTTTTAGGCGTTGAGCTGTCACCTGGTGAAAAGCTAATTGGTCTTGATTATGCGGACGATACTGGCTTGGTGTTTAACAATGTTGGGGCGGCGCAATCAACCTCTCCAGATTGGTCCCATTATTTGGCATGCGCTTCGCACCGTCAAAGTGCAAAATGCTGTTACTGGACCATCTGCCACTTGGTGACCCTTGATAGCGAGTTGATCAATTCATTTACCTTCGCAGCTGCATCAGCAACGATGGGCGCATAAGCACTAAAATTTCTCCACGTATTGCAAAAGCCGGAGCTGTCTTCTTGGATCTTCGGCGTCGGAAAGGAGCTTCCGTCCGTCTAGAAGGCCGTGTTTACAAGTCCACAGTAAGAACCGTTCTACTCTATGGGAGTGAGACTTGACCCCCCTCGGTTTCGGGGATGTGCGACGCCTTCAAGTCTGCGGGAGTATTGCTGGTGTCGGGTGGCACCAGAATATCCGCAACGATGATGTGGGTAGGCAAGTACTAAGTGATGATAACCAACCTAGTTCCTTAGTACAACACAGCACTGAATAAGTTGCGTTGGCTCGGGCACGTGCTACGTATGCCTGATCACCACCTTCTTCAGCCTCCCATATAGATGGCTATATATATAGCAAGACAAGTAAATGGATTACACTGACGATGACGTTTCTGTCTCAACTCTTAACTAGGCTTTCTTGTTTAACCGCTGATGGATGCAATCTTAATTTGGACATCTAAAGACTCCGAATCCTCCAGGCTCTAGATTTGGGCCGTCAATTTATAGCACGTCTGAATACATCTTCTTAATGTGTAGATAAGCCCTCCAGTAATATCCGGCGCACGCTCATTCCGCGCCCGCTGATCGGTTTGCTCGGTCTTGTATGGTTGCTGAGTGTGAAGACTAGTAGTCCAAGTCAATATATGCTTTCTATACCTAAATGGATGCATTTTTAGCATTTTACAATAGATGCTGCAGATATTATAAAACATCACAATTAGAAATGCAGAATTGTGTAAATAGACAAAAATGGATTTGGGGGTGGCGCTGTCTAATCTACATACTATTAACGGCATAGTGTCGAATCCTTGATAAGTTCGCGTAGTACGCGGTTCATTTTCAAAGATTACTTGATGGTACTATCACAAATATACGCAAATTATAAGAGCCAAATCGCCGCAGTAGCAGTCTTAACCCCAGCACAGTCTCCATTTATGCGTGAATATTATGCGGCCCGTCCTTTCCACTCCGAAATTTTAGATGAGAAGTGACGTGAGTTTTCCTCTTCTTCCTGCTAAGATGCACCACTCTCAAACGTCTGTGTTTTCCCAACTCCCTCTTCCTTACAGCAGCACATTGTTTTTTGGCTTTGTTTATTTGCAGTCGATTTTATTTTAACTCAATCCCCGATTACCCGTGTGTGTTTTTCAAGGTTTGTTCAGACTCCAATGCTCCTGGTGTTTGTTGCTGTATACACAGCGCACATCTCTTTTGTTGCACTTGGGCTCTTTTGTCTCTTATACCAAATATTATCGCTCTGTTTTCCGACAACATTCATGATACGACCGCTCGAGTTTGTTTCCCTCAGACTGAAACTCGCCGGTTACTTGCAATCTCCTGCTCCCATCACGGGCGCTACAAAGGATAGCTGCAATGGAGATCACCTATTAATATAAGTACTGATATACTGCATGAGCCATATCTGAGCTTTTGTTTTGTACAGTCACTCAGAGGTGGCATTATAGTACTTTGTACATGAAAACAACTTAGGGCATCAGAACTCGTGCGCGTGTTTCGTACATCCAGCCAAATAGATAAAACCATTCGTACGTTGTACTCTCAGTGCTCAGTCAGACTGCGAATCTGCTAGTGCTGTCGTGCTGGTGGAAGTTGAGTGCATGTGACTACACTTTAGCGATTACGCGGATCGGTACCAAACGCGTAAGCCGAAACTCTTTTTGCCCTTCCTTTGAATTCAATGGACCTGGTCATCATCAGAGCTTACTATATCTGATTGGAAGTTCTCAACCGTTTTCTTTTTCAGGACACTGGAAGCGCTGTCCTCACTGATGATGTGTCCTTGCAGGGCTTCATGGATCACTTGAAGAAGTTGGCCGTATCCAGCTCTGCTTGAAGTTCCCCTGAGACTCTCGTACCAATTTGTTTTCTGTTTCCTATGAGTCGCATCTCACTGATCCTGTCAAATCGGTTTGTGCAAAAACGTGTGCTGTAAACATTGCTCGAGCGATTATCACCCGAGGTTTACCCTCCCCCTGTCCACCATGTGATCGACCTACCCCGTTCTTCACGTTTCCGATACTTATAAACGCTCTTCTCTACTTCCACATCGCTAACATTTAGTTGGCTCATCGGCGTCTTCCAGACTGCCTTGGGGCCGCTGCTTTGTGCGACTAGTTGCTGTGAACCGCTAATTAAACGCACTGTGGTTTGCCATTGTTTACTTCATTACTAGCACGTAATGGTCTGATGTGTGAAACAGCCGCATCGGTGTTGCCATCTCTTCCTCGCTGATTCGGGGGTCACGTGAGCCACAGCGATAAGCAGCTTACACAAGTCTTGTGGTACATCTGTAGAGTCAACCGTAGACCGGCTTTGTTAAGTGGATTCATGCTACGATTGTCCGAGTTTCGGGAGACGTACACGTGTATCCAAAACGATGGTCTGCCATGTGGCTTCAATAGTAGAGGACCTTCATGGTTGTCGCATAGATCTACATAACGCCAGTATCATGAAAAATACTAGAAACCTACCAGAGATTTGAAAACAATCTGTTGGTGTATCTGCTGAGCAACATTTCGATTTTAACACAAAAGCTGTCAGGCCAGTTGAATCTGTAAACCATCGGAGCGATGTTCTCTAAGAAGCAAGGGCTACAAATGCGATAACACAGATTGTAACTTGGGAGTCTGGGTTATCCATGTTGGTGCAGTAACGTGTTCGGTCTTTATCTGACGGACATGATGCCGAAATCTTTTGCAAATGTTTGTCTTATTTTAATAGTGGTGCAGGGATGCCTGTCAAATGTCTGTTGCCTTGTCACACTGTCCACGATATATGATCATTTAGTAGGCTTCGGGCCGCGTAAGTAGATATTCGCACCTAGTGAGTCGTTCTGAACCGTCACATTCCATCCTAGTGGTTAGATGTTATGCCGAATCCAGCCACTTACGTTTCCTTCACGACTACACATACCATGTGCTTCGCATCCAACGCAATACTTTTCTTATTTTCAGATACGCTAGCTTTCATTCTGACTGTTTTGCATATGTTCTCTAAGTTCTTGTGAAACTGCAAGCAAAGGGTTCTCTTCCCTCCCTACTAGTCGTGGTACTAAATGTAGCAGCAGTTCGGTGGGAAGAATGTGTTCAATGATGTTAAATGCAACTATAATTACAGCTTAGTTTAAACAACTCTTGCTAGTTTCGTTCTTGTTATCAAAACGGTTTCAGCTTGGCCGCAGCTGTCCCCTACCTTTTTCATTGATACATCTACCTTTGTTCTCTGGTATGCATTGTCCAATACGTGCTTTCCACGTTTCATAATCGATCCGATTTTATCCGACTTCCTTGTTATCACCAGCCGTTCACTACATTACCTCCGGAGCGATGCGCCACTGGTGACACACACTGAGCGTGTCTCGTCGCGAAGAGGCGTGAAAAGACGTGGATAGTGCCGTCATTCGCACACCGTCAACTGTTTGAAACTGCTCGCGGCCTTACAAAAAGAATCGCTTAATCGTCTCTACTACCGAGGCAAGACTGTTTGCGAAAAAATATAGTGTGTTTGCAACTCAATTAGCAGGTTCGTTACGGTGCACGACACGAGTACCGCCATCCATCGATACAGCAGTCATCCAGGCGAAGCAAGTATGTAATGGCCAGTAGTTAGAATGGTCTTTGCGTCGTTTCACTAAATATTTCCGGGGGGAGGGGGGGCAGAATCCACGAAGTCAGAGTATCAGCAAAGTACACTGTGCTTAATTCCCTTGATGACTTTGGTGCTTGTGATAGTAATGTGAGAGACGAATTGACTTAACAGTTACAGTTTTTGTGGTAGACCAACATTGTGCCTACGAGTCAATTTCATGTACCTCGGGTGGAAGTGATACACACATTTTGGTGTAGAGAAGGGCGCAGAACACAGATCAGCTCGAACAAAGTTAGCATGTTACTGAACACAGGATTCAGAAAGGATTTCATCTGATGCCCCCTTCAAACAGAAGATGCAATGAACAGACAACCAGGCTCCGACAGATGGGACAACACAAATCGTTCGGAGTAATCGGATACTTCCTGCGGTTAAATGACCTGAAGCAATTCGTACAAAGTCCAGCATGCCGGCAAGGAAGGAAGACGTGTAACCATCCCTCGACTGGCGAAAGACAAATCAAGCAACAGGGTTTCCAAGGTGAACGCCCGGATGAGTTAGAAGAGATCAAACCATTTCCCTCAATTGGTTCTCCATCTCCTCTGGCGGCGTAGAGGACCTGAGTAAAAGTGATTTTAAAACGGCACTTTACACTTTGGCAATGTAGCAAAAAATACCTCGATTATCTGGTGCTATAGCTAAAAGTACCACTAAAATGAATTCTTTATGTGATGGATAACGAACATAACAGAAAAATATTATGAGAAGCTGCCGGTGACGGACTAACATGCATAAACCGTATCGTATTACCGCAGTATGGCTGTACATGGACTATTGAACGCGTTCAGGTTCATCCTCCTGAGATAAGTCCGAAATGTGTCAAACACAAGGAAATAGGAAACAACTGCGGAACGACAGATTTACGAACAGACCAGAGGACGTGAGGGGCGTACATGAGTGAATGGTGATCTGTAAGCAAGCGTGGCCAACCAAGTTCGCGTTTGGTCGATCAAACGAGAACTTGAGTCCATGAGCGGTGAGTGTCGATCGACAAGCAGTAACACGCAGGATAACAGGAACACAAGTTAGCAGCAAACAAGTGGATCACTCGGACGGCTGGCGATGTGCGCGGAATTTTCACCTCGCCCGCTGCGAATGGCAGAATTCCTACCTATTCGACCTCACCACTCCGAGCAGAAGTTTATCGGACTGGTAATACTGATTGGTGCTAGTGGGGCCGACATCTGTGACTTCTAGGGCCAAGTGGTTGTTCCATCATGGAATGAGTCAAGATCCGTTTACCGGCATGAAGACAAATCGGACACCGACCTTGCGATTCAGATCCTCCCAAAGTGCACTAATTCTACAGTTCATGGATATTGTCTTGATCGAAAGATTTGTCGCGCGAAGTCCATACGCGTTAAGATGTGCAGGCAACCAGCCGCGAGTCTCCACGTAGTGCCAGCTGGCTGGATCAGGTTTACCCGTTCCAGCAAACAGTACAACCGCAGTGTTCCAGAACCTGGTGCGTTTTCACCTGGCAAGCATTCTCCCTATAAAAAGCCACAGATGTCCGTCTAAGAACACTGCGACTCGCCAAACAAAGTCACTGCTCTTATTATCCCTACAATCTTTACAAATCCACGGACGTTAAACACTGGCAATACGTACAAACACAAGCAAAGGTGGAGCAAAAAATTTACAGAGCCGAGCTACACACACACTGATGTATCGACAAGTATGACAGTCCTATTATACTACTGTACATTCCATGATCACTTGTAAAACTCTTACAATAGTCATGCCTGTGTAGGCGTGCCTCAGTCAAAAATAAATATTTATTTCCACGTCAAATGTTTACCAGGAGTAAAGAATGAATAAAAATTGAGAAAACGCTCTGTTGTGAATCGTATTGGCCAGATAGTATTTACGAAATCTATGCGCGAACTAGCTATCCTGTGTATTTCCGTTTCACGGATAAGCCCTTTGTAGAGAACAGTCTCAGGCAAACAATATTTCAATGATCCATCTACGGGCCGATACGAATCATATTAGGTTAAAATACGAAGGTAAATTGGTGGTAGGTGGTTAGACAGCAGATAGTTGATCGCTGTCTTGCACACACACACAGAGATCGATAGGTGTTACGTACCCAAACTGACGACGCCGGTGTTACAGTGACAGCTAGCTTGACTGCTGTTCGACCAGGGCAGACAGCGCTTGAACAAACCTCTTTTGTGAGCATAGCGGAGGTTGGAATATTCAGGTCGCAATAGCTTCTGCTTTGGCGAGCATTCGTAGACGCAGACCTTTCGAATTGTTCAAGGGGACCTGGTAAACCACAGTAAATGCATTCAGAAGGCTAACCATGTGACCTAATTCGAATAGGTGGGAGAGAATTCCATTTGCCAAAACTCCAGTGCCTCCGTTCGCCAACCATTTAGAACTATGTTCCTTAATGCAATGTGACAACTGGCGAGCTGTTCAACCTATGTATGTTGCACCACAGGTGCACTCAAATCGATAGATAATGTAAGAGGCGGTCAGTTTCGACGGTCTGTCCTTATTGCACACAGGAATAAGCAGTTTGGTGGCAAATATACACCGCAGTTCTGCAGCTGGAAAAGTGTTCCTTACTGACTGCGTCAGTTTTCTTCTTATAAGCTCCGCAATTGTATCGCCATTAAAATCAAGGCGAATGAAGTGAGGTTTCTTTTCAGCTACTTACTCAACGTCCGATGTTATGTTGAGCTGCATGTTGCGCTTTATAAATCTATCCGGACAGCCATTTCACGTAACGTGTTCTGGATAGATTTCATTTCATCGTCTAGAGCATCTTGAGAACAGATCTTTCGAGCCCTCGACGTGAGACAACGCGCTAAGTTGCGCTTGTATTTAAGCGGTACGAAATTACTGAAGTTTGTGTATTGGGCGGTTCACGTTTTCTTTCTGTTGATCCTCCTTAATAGGGAGTTATCAGTTCGCCTGCTCAGGTGCACATCACGAAAGGAGAGCTGATCCTCTTGTTCAAATTCGTATGTGAACTTGATTGTCAGTTGCACATTATTGAACTCCACCACCACTATCTTCTACACTTAAATCCTTATTGGTCACACAAAAGATATCGTCCGTATCGCGATAGTACAGGTCGAAACGATCTATGAGTGGACTCAATAATTCATTTTCTACTTTGGCAATAAAAATATCCGCCAACACTGGTCCGAGTGGAGACCGCATTGCGACTCCGTCATTCAGCCGGTAATGGATGCCGTTGTAAAGGAACTGGACATTGTAAGTACATCTCAACAGTAATTCCTTCAGGCTTGGTAAGGGTAAAAAAAATGTAAAACTATCAAGCACACTATGTCGAGCAATTCGCTTTCTTATGAGTTCCAACATATCTGCTAACCAATGGGCTATGGGATATGGTACACTGAATTTGTCATGGACAATATTGGCCGCAGAGGTACAGACAATTTATGAACTTCTGGAAGCCCATACATTCGTCGTACAGATGTTTCAACTGGTCTAAGACATACCAATATACAAGCAGGTATTAATCCGCGCGTACATAGATATATGTGGCACTTTGTCAGGTTTTTCCCCGCTTCGTCCATTTCCTGTTTCACGACCCATGTGGTTTACCAGGTCCCCTTGAACAATTCGAAAGCTCTGCGTCTACGAATACTCGCCAAAGCAGAAGCTATTGCGACCTCCACTATGCTCACAAAAGAAGTTTGTTCAAGCGCTGTCTGCCCTGGTCGAACAGCAGTCAAGCTAGCTGTCACTCTAACACCGGCGTCGTCAGTTTGGGTACGTAACACCTATCGATCTGTGTGTGTGTGCAAGACAGCGACCAACTATCTGCTATCAAGGAGAAAAAGCAGCCACATGAGACAAGCTCCTGCGCTCACACAGCATCTTCAATCGATTGTCAATTTCACATGCATGGTGGCAAATGTGTAGAAGATAGCTTCTCGCCAAATGAAAATGGCCAGGGTCGGTTGTCTGTGTGGGAGCAAAGAATATCGATGGTTGCAGCCTCCTGCACTGTTGCGGGCCCGTCAAAAATCCCCGCAAGGAACGCGCCAGTAACTCCGGCATAATGGCTGTGGGAAGCGGAGTCCAATTTCTCCCCACAACGCAGCAGTGTTCAGCCACTCCGAGGCGCGTCCCAACTGCGAACCTTTTGACAATGCTCATTTGCAATCTACCACCTCTGCGTGGGGACTGTTTTTCCTAACTTAATAACCCATAGCACTGACTGGGATCGCCCTTTGTCGGTCGTAAAAGAGCCTACAGAGGACCACTTGTCTTTTCTTTCTCTTCGCCTCAGTTGGGAGTCGGTCGGGTCGCGTGATTGCGTGTGAATCGTTAGCTGGCCAGCCTTCGCGTCTAAGTCATTAGCGCGCGTCTATCGTACACCCTCTCGTGTGCGTCCGTTTTCGAGGCCTCAGCGTCCATACGAACAAGTGCGGCTAAGATCGTTCCCACGCTCGTTCAATTTTCCGTCTCACCGGCTAAGCTAGCGTCATCGTAGGCGTGCTCCAACCGTGCGAGCGACAATCTTGTCACGCAATTACCTCAAGAGGCGGCGTTCCCTCAATTATAACAGCGCCGACGACAAAGCCAATCAGTCTGCCCCCGTGTCCCAGGATTGTCAACAAGCCTCAAAGATGCCACCACACCAATCCCCGATTCCTTGGCATCCGCCAGCAAAACCGTGGTCTCGAGTGCACATCGACTATGTTGGTCCCATCTATGGTATTTCCTATCTGGTCGTAGTCGACGCCTATTCCAAATGGCCAGAAGTGGTCGCCGTCAACCCACCAACCGCATCCGCCACTCTGGGTTGTCTCCAACGGATCTTCAGTCAACATGGCCTTCCCGAGGTTCTGGTGTCCGACAATGGTACCCAATTTACGTCTTCTATCTTCGAAGACTTTTGCCGCCGACACTGCATCGAACACCTCCGCTCACCGCCGTACCATCCCCAATCCAACGGTCAAGCGGAGCGATTTGTCGACACATTCAAGAGGGCGCTTTTGAAATCTCGCGGGGAGGGGACCGTGGATGAGTGTCTTCAAGCCTTTCTGCTCTCGTACCGGTCCACACCGAATCCAACTACGCCAGAATGCCAGTCACCAGCTGAAACATTGATGGGCCGCAAGCTACGCACCACAAACGATGCACTCATTCCGACTGAGAAGCCACCTACTCACTCTGATGCCTACAGCAAGCACAAAGAATTCGCCGTCAGAGCCCCAGTCTACGCTCGTGATTACCGAGCAGGTCATCCTCACTGGATCAAAGCCACAGTGACAGCCAGGCGAGGTGACATGCTTCATGATGTCTCCGTAGGTGATGACACCTGGGTTCGCCATCGCAATCAACTTCGTCCGCGCCACGAAGAAACCTCCATGCCAGCCAGCCATCCCGTGCGCCTGCCGCTGCACATCCTGCTGGATACTTTCGGAATGGCTCCACAACGGGAGACCACGGTCGAAGCCGCTCAGTCGCCGCCGCATCTCGAGAACCCACCTTGCCGACGAACAGAAAGAATCCGGAGGTCACCGAAATCCCTCCAGGTCAATCCTCGCCAGAAGCGGTACGCTCTCT